GGCGGCGGGACAGAGCCCGGCCCCAGCCCGTAGGCAGCGTCCTACAGCGGACCTGTGTCCCCGCCCTCTCCGCGCCCGAGGGCTGGCATTTCCCAAGTTTCTGCAGAAAGTTTTCAGGGCCGTCACTCTCACTCTTCGCCTTCATTGGTCTTTTGAAATCGTGTCGTTTCCTGAACTTGGCGAAGTGCTCTGGGCAGCAGCGAGGCTGCGCTAGCGTCCTGGGGTCTTCTGTGCTTCCCCAGGGCTCTGTTAACGAAGTTCATCACTGATGTTTGTTGAACGAATGAATGAACTGGCTGGCCCAGCCGTCCCGAGGTGCAGGAGATGATAAACTGTCCCCCAAGGAGAACACCTGGCTAAGATACACCCTTGGAATCCCGAGCCATGACCCCGGTGCGACCTCAGGCGTTGGGGCTTTAACAAAAATCATTTTCTTTTTCCTGCCGAGGTGAATTGAGGCCACTTTGTTTTTTTCTGGGCTAGTTTGTGTCTAAAATATTTTGTCCTGTGGGCAGATTTTGTATCCTGGTTTTGGAGTTGAAAAATGAGGTGACAGTTCTCGAGCACTGCAGTGACTGAGCGTTGTGTGGGTGGAATTGCTGGGTTAAAAAATGTTTTCAATAGAGGGTTGTGAGTGGACTGGAAGTGAACTTTTGGAAAGTCGGGTCATGCTGAGATGTAAAAATTTCCTGCTTTGCTTTCAAGTTATCTCTTAACATTTTTATTAGTATATGTGTGTGATACATAGTAAGTACATTCAGCATATGGAATTGGTACATATATACACATGACATCTTGATCCCTTTCCCCTCCTCACTGTCCTGTTTTGTCCGTCCCCATATTACCTTCCCATCTCCACGAATCTGTCTCCCTGCTTCCTATGATGTTATTTTGCCCTTTAGATTACTTATACTTTGGGCTTCTCACGTAAGAGAAACCATGTAACAGTTAACCTCTGTGTCTGACTTATTTCACCTAGCATTTTATGATCTCACAGTGCATCCATTTTCCTACAAATAAGTCAAACGCATCCTTCTTTATGGTGGAGTAGTATTCTCTCGTGTATATATTGGATATTCTCTTTATCGCCTCATCGGCTGTTTCCAAGATTTAACTATTATGATGAGCTGCCGTAATAGGTGCATGTGTGCCCCTGTCATATGATACCTTTAACTCCTAGGAAGATACTCAGAAGAGGAATACCTGGATCAAATAGAATTTCTACTTTTAATTTTTTTGACTTTAAATTTTATAGTCTCCATACCGATTTCCCTGGTGGTTGTACTAGTTTACATTCCCACCAACAGTGTAGAAGGGTTCCTTTCCCGCTACAACCTTGCCAGCATTTGCTGTTTTTTAAATTTTGGTTTGTTTGTGTGCTTGAGACAGGGTCTCTATGTGGTTCAGGCTGGCCCTGAGCTCACTGTGTACCCCTATGGCTCTCCTGCCTCTGCCTCCTGCATGCAAGGTTATAGATGTGTGCCACAGTGCCCAGCACTGTGCTTTGAATTCTTGATGATAGCCTTCTTTCTGGAATAAGATAGAATGCCAGTGTTGTTTGATTTGCATTTCTCTAATGGCCAAAGATGCCGAACATTTTTTGATATCTACGATAGCAAGTTACCTTAACATGTAAGAACAATTTCAGTGTTGAAAATTGGCAAACTTGACCGAAGAGCTAGACTTCCGTTCTCTAGATTCAAGTGAGAAGCAGCAACAACACATCCCCAGAGTTTCCTCCTCAATTTTAGTATAGTTGTCGGAGAGGCAGTCCAAGACCGCCCCCAGGGATGCCTGAAATCAGATAGTACCGCACTCTTTATACTGTATAGTGTTTTTTCCTAGAATACATAATTTATGGTAAAGTTTATAAGTTTGGTGCGGTAAGAGGTGACAATAGTAGCTAATAATAAAATAGAACGGAACAATATAGGAACCTCAGCCGTCATGATCGTATTGTACTCACCCTTCTCCTTGTGCCGCTGTGAGATAGTACACTGCCTGGTGATGGGACGAAGTACTAAGACAGCTGTGTTGAAGAGTTAAGTTAGGCTACTGAGCAGGGGTTACTTGAAGACAGGCACTGTATTACTGTGACGGTCACTCTGACAGTTGAGATAACTCAGATGGCTGGAAAGTGATAAATGGTGGGTAACTTATACAGTGTGGACACGCTGGGCAGAGGAATGATTAACGTCCTCGGAGAATGGAGGCGGGATCACATGAAATTTCATCATGCTACTCATTTAAAACTCACAAATTATTTATTTCCAGATTATCCATTTATTATTTTGTGACTCCAGTTGGTCCTAGGTAATTACAATAAAGCCATGGAGAGTGAAGCTGCAGATAAGGTAGGATGATTGCATTTTGATAAATGGGGGTTTAGTGTACAGTTGGTGACGAGTCATGAAATCCTGGTGTGGAAAGGACTTTTCTAGACTAGCCTTCCAACCTTTTTCTGTACTCTTCCTGACTTGAGCTCATCTAGTGTAAGATCGGCGACTCAGAATCCTTGGAGCTCGTGACCAGCCAGGAATACTCACCGTACTTTTGCCAACTCTGGGGAAAATTTACATTTAACCAAAAGGTGGTATCTCTGTACCCACAACTATCTGTGGAGCTAAGAGTGAGTCTCACAGTGGCTACTTGCCCATTTCAAATGGATGGCACTGCTGCCTTCCCTTGACCAGAGTAAACACCCTCTTGCTCCTAGAGCTGGTCCTCGCAGACGTGACTTTAAGGCTGTCTAGTATCCTGCATCCAGCTTCAGCCAAGGCTCTTGCAGGAAATAGAAGGCCCAGTTCATTGGGATTTTAAAAGGAATGAGTGAAGGGACTCTTTAAACGACTGTGGACACCCTTAAAGGAACCAAGAAAGGGGCGCTGAGGTACTACCTAGCAGCCAGCAGCAGGGAAAGCTGTTTCACCCCTGGACCTGAAGGAAAAAGGGAAGCAAACTGGAACCCATGGGAAGCTGGAGCTGTGGAAGAGGGACTGTCGGACAGGAAGCAGAGTTGTAAAGGGACAGTCATTGTCAGAAATGTACAGAAGGAGACAGAGAAGACCGGACAAGAAAGGCCTCTTCTTTTCTTTCTTGACTTCTCTTCCCATTGGCTGAGCACGGTGGTAAGTCACCAGGGAATAGGGATCCAGGTGAGGTAGCATGTAGGGATCAGTTCCTACCTCTTCTATCCTAGACTAGATCAGAGAAGGGAGTGGAGGGACCCAGCAGACTCTGTCAACGTGAGTTGCTCAGAAGTCTACATTGCATGGTAATAATTGAAGCCAACCAACCGGATCAGAACCAAACTGTCACCTCCCTTATTCTAGCATAGACACTTTGTTAATGCATCTAAGGACACTTTTCCTTTATTCTGTCAGCTACATCGTACATTCCCTCACTGAGCTTGTTATCAGCGTAAAGACACTTTTTTTTTGTATTGGTTGCTCCGAACTGTGCCCTTCTTCCCTAGCTTAGATTTACTTAGCTGGTTTTTTTAAACCAAATGCAAGATCTTATTCTTATCCCTATTAACTGTAGAGTCCTGATTCTGTCAGTCTATTTGGGAATCCAGGGGCTCTCAGTGGGTGAAGGGGAGAGTCCATGGCTTCATAAAGGGTCTGGTCCACCACGCAGCTCCAGCTGTTTGCTGCCCCCATCGGGTAGTTCTGGGAGCCACTCAAAGAAGGCAGCAGACTTGGCATGAAATGATTGTGCCTCGTGAGCGAGTGCCAGGCCTCTGTGATCAGGGGCTGCCCTTGTCCAAGGCCCCCGACCGTGAATTCTGTAACAGTAAGGCTGGGTCCTGCTCTGCATTCTGCATAAGCTCACAGCTCTGTGCTTTGCGGAATCTGCCTTCTTCCACTTTCTTCTCATCCTTCATGATAGACCACTAGCATTGGTCTGTCCACAAATTATCCCAGTGCTGTGGCATTAAATTCTTAACTCCAATTCTTACATTTCATGCCTGCTGTGTCCCGCTGTAGGACACAAAGATTGGAAAGACACGTACATGTGGGAATGTGTAAGTCAAAAAATTAACGTAAAAATATATCTTTTCAAGAATCCAACAGGCATCGTAGAATAGCTAAACCTTATAAGAATACATTAAACAATTCCTCGCTCTTGTGTTTTCATAAGAAAAAAATAGTGCTACAGAAGTAAGATAAACTAGGGAGGTTAAAAAGCATGATATTTAGGGTCAGACACATTTGGGTTTGATTTCTATTCTAGTTCCTTATTTATTGCTATGATTTAGGACAAATTCCTTAAACCTCTCAGCCTCTTTATAAAGTGAGAATGAAACTCATGTCTTTACATGGAAGGTACGCATCTAAACATGCATTGCATGGCACAAATAATGGTAGCCACTGAAATTGACAACTCAGTTTTAGAGAGTTGTTGAAATTGGAAACAGGCTTTATTATGGAATACAGAAGATTCTACGGGTTCTGTAAAAATAGCCAAGTAGCCTGTGACTGTAAGCCTTTGTGGCACTATTTTGGTCCCTTTAGAAGCTAAGGAGCTTTTCTTTGGGAGTCAGATCCTTCTGTTTCTCATGGTGACACATTTTGGTGTTTCAAATATTAGGTCCCGTTTCTGTGAGTTGCTAGGGGAGTGAGTAGGTGGCTTTTATTTTTCTCTGGGGATCTTTTCTTTTTAGTTTCTAGTCTGCAGTTATAGTGCACATGGCCCTCCTGGGTG